TATATATATATATATTGGATTGTCTCCAAAAATTACATAGGCATAAAATAAACAAAGTTTATATTGCGATTGAAACAACTCCTTCACAATTGAAATAATTTCCTTCATTGGTAAGGGTTAGGATTGAGCTATTATTTGTGTTGCCTCAAGTTGAAATTTTTGATTTGTTTGATAAAATGTAAAGTTCGAATTGGTTGTATTGGTGTAAAATAATCGCAATTCAATGTTAGAGCCATCTTATAAACCCAAATTGCCACCTTCAATGACATTTAATATATTTAAGGCATTGACGATTGATCAGTCGAAGAATGTGGTCATGAGGGGAATAATGGTTAAAAATAGTGAGAAGTTCCAGATCTCGATTATGTATAGCCAGGGAATAAGAGTAGAAGGAGTAACAATAACGACACCATTCAATAGCCCAAACACTGTTGGAATCCACATCCAGACGACGAGTGGTGCAAGTATCATAAACTCCACCATGGCCACAGGTGATGATTGCATGTCATTGGGAACGGGTGACATCAACATTTGGATCGAGAATATTAGATGTGGGCCGGGACACAGCATAGCCATCGATAGCCTAGGCGAGACACCAAGGAAGTCCATCGTAGAAAATGTGACTGTGAGCTCGGTGGTCTTGACTGGAACAGAAAATGGTTTGAGGATCAAAACATGGGCGAATCCCTATAATGGGTTTGTGAGTGGGATTAACTTCCAACATGCCATAATGAAGAATGTAAGGAACCCAATTATTATTGATCAGAATTACTGCCCTAACCATCATAATTGCTCAAAACAAGTAAGTATCATGGTTTAATGAATGTGATTGATTAGTGCTAATTAGAGGGCTAATTAATGATTAATTTGTGTTTCAGAGCTCAGGTATAAAGATCAATGGGGTGGTGTTCGATGATGTGTGGTGGTCGTCGGCGACGGCAATGGCGGTAACGTTTGACTACTGTAGCCGGAGCAATCCATGCAGTGGGATTGAACTTAGGAACGTAAGGCTGACCTATGATGGAGAGGACAAGGCCGAGGCATTCTGTAGAAATGTAGAGGGAGGGAGCTCCGGGTTGGTAATCCCACCTAGCTGTATTTGAGATTTTGAATTGTGAATGATAATAATAAAAGTATCATTATTATTATTCCTGCTATCATTGAGATAGAGAAGTCTCCGGCTGGCTGCTTAAGGTTTGGTGTGAGCATGCTACGTTCTGAGAGATGGGGGGTGTATTTTGTAATTTTATTGAACAATGTAAGGAGTGTTATTGAAGTTTGACTTCTACTTGATTATTTCTTCGTATCCAGTTTATTAGAAAAAATGGTGATTGAGATTTTTTGAACCAAAATTAGATTTATTATGAATTTTGATGCTCTTTGATTTAGTTTGATATAAATATAGTAAAAATTCTTGTGTTTCTTTTTATTTTTTTTAAATGGCGCACATGTTTTTATGCACATGTTTTGTAAGAAGTTTAATAATAATAAGTTTAATAAATAAAATTACGATTTTTAGGAGCTGAATGCTCTCACTGATTATGCCTTTAGCTTCACCTGAAATAGTCATATTTACATGCATACCACTGAATCTTTGCCAACATAACAAAATAACACCATCAATTCAAATATTGAGTTTAAAATTTGTAAATACATAAGAATGTTTTGGTGCCTACGTAATTTTCCACAATATTAATATCAAGATTTCATAACAAACATTCTATGGGAGTAGTTAAGAACCAAAACCTTCCACGATAGTGCAATGTTGTTAAGTGGAATAATTTTACTGAAATGGAAAAAAATATATATCAATATTTTATGTGACAAAGTATATCTTAATAAGTAAAAGTTTTCTCAAATTTAAAATATTTTTAATGAACTTGATCTGATAATTAAATTTTTTTTTTAACCTAAGAAAATGATCACTCTGTCATTTTAATTAATCGTGCTCGAGCAGCTCGAGCTTACGTTTTTGAGTTATAGCCGACTCATGAGCGAGCTTGTTTATTATGAAAAACAAAATAATATCCATTCACGCTACTATTATAATAAAATGATAAATAAAATGAGTAATAATGAGATAAATAATAAGAAGCCACTTAACGGGCTTTTAAATTAGTTTTCATATACTATAAGTTTTTGAAATTTAAAAAAAAATTATTAAATATGTTTAATAAGTAAACTATAAGTTTTTGAAATTTTGACTAAATTTTAAATTACTTTTCATATACTAACTAATTCACTAATTAACAAGTCGAGTTGGGCTAGCTTGTTAGCTTATCGGGCTTTGTTCATGAGTCACTTACTTGTTCACGAGTCACTTACTGAGACAAGCTTGAACCGGCTCACGAGTCGGCTTTGCTTATTTACACCCCTACATTTAAATATCAAATATTGAGTTTAAATATGTTTGTGCAATGTTGAACGCTCGTGCTGCTAAAAAGTAAGCACCTAATAATTTACTTTACAAATAATCGTAAGGGGCATCTACATACATACCATTGAATTCCCAAATATTTTCATATCTAACTCGTAAACTTTATTTTTTACATTTATACCATACAATTTTTACTTGCCACATCAAAATACCCCATTTTAATTTTTTAAAATGATGAATACGCCTCATGCAGAGGTAACGTGCTATGTATGCAAAAATTGATGTTTAGGTGTTATATATAAAACTACATAAGAATTGAATGGCATTTCATGAAAGGACATCAACAACACGAATCTCAAGGAAAACTATACCTACATGACAAATAATTTGGGACCCACGGTCAAGTCACACAATTCTGTCAAATGTTAATTAATTTTATTAAATGTCACATAGTGATGCTAAGCCAAGGAAAAAGCAAGAAACAAGGCACTTCAAAGGTCCTAATAAGTTGTTTAATCAGTTGATATGTCGACCGACACATGTAGACGAATGAAGAATCAATTCACATCCGACTGAGCGAAAGACAATTCTATGACAAGCCAAACGAAGAACAACTCTACAATAGCACAAATGAAGGATGGCTCATTTTCATACAAACTAAAAAGATGGATCATATGGCGAAGCAACACACATGTTAATTTAGTTTGTAGGCCTTTGTGTCTTCCTTACGTGACTCAGCTTGCTATCATCAAATGAATTATCATGAACCGACAATCAAAATCATCATGACCGGCCAGCAAACTCTTTATTAACATATTTTTAAATGTTTGCTTCCTCATTGCTGGTCCTGATGATTTTGAATATATTTTTAAATATCATCAAATATATTTCTATTGTTCACTTCCTCTTTGCTTCCTATCTTCTTCCAACCTCACGCTCTATTCCTTCGGTTTAATTCCACGGACACTGTTGACCTCACTATTAGTGAAGGTCTTAAAATCATAGCCATAGACCAAATTCAACTTGGGAAATCTTATGACTTAAGATTCTTTTACATAATCAAAAGACTTGAAAATAATCATTATGATCATCAAGATAAAGGGTCTACCAACATTGACTTCCTTGAATATATCTAGGGTCATTAAAACCCTAAAAATTAAAATAACCCTCAACGTACTCTTTTTGGATCTTAATAATGAGTATCCCTAAAATGATCAGATCAGTAGTGACAAACCTTAATCTGGTCAAATTTTTGACTTAATGGCCACCATAATGATCATAAAGTCAACATTTACACATAATTACCCCAATTGGTCAACTTTGACCCAAATAGTCAATTTTGGTCAAACTGGTCAATTTTGGCCAAGCTGGTCAACTTTGGATAATTTTGACCAATGAATCAGTTCAAACCCTAAAAATGATCAAATCGGATCATTTGATCATTTCTAAATACCAAAATGATTAATGTGGACTGTTTAGTCAACTACAGACACCATTCACTAACTATTAGTCTAAATGGTCAATCCATGATCTAATGACCACCACATTGACTATATTGGTCAACTAATACACTAAAAATATAGCGAGAGTTAGCCTTCAGGTGAAGGGAAGTGGGAGCTCTTAAGTGGGATTCGGTATCCTCCTACCATAACCACGGGTTTAGGGGCTAAACCTAGGATTAGCCAAAGATTTTCTATGCACTGTATCAGGGTAGAGAATTATAATTGCTTCTATTTAGCACAATACATATTATAAAGATCTATCTAATCTCATTTCAACAGAACCTCATTGTAGTGGGAAGGGTGCTTTTTCACTTAAGAAATCTTAATTACATAAACATAGTTAGTAGATTAGTAATTATTTTTTAAATTTAAACTTTGCTTTTCTACTTTTCTATTTTGCTAATAGTTAAATATTTTAGTTTGATAACATCTCAACATTCAAAATTAGTGTCAGTGGTTTCGTTTGATTTTTGTAAATTTCCTAGTAAAACTTATTATTGCTAATTTACACCTCTAATTTACACATTCCCTGTGGGATCGATATTTGAGGCTTAAATAGATAGTCTTTTATTACTTGATAATGATATGCATAATTGCGTAGAATACAATTATTAACTGCATCTAATAATATAAATTTTACACAACTTTCTTTTCATAAAAGGATCAAGTTTTTGGCATTGTAGTGGTGTCAACTTCATAAATCCTTCTATATAAAAATCGAGATCATCAACCTTGACCTAAATAATCAAGATTGGTCAAAATGGTCAATCCATGACTCATGACCACCACATGGGCTATATTGGTCAACCCTTGACCAAATAAATCAAATTTGGTCAAAATGATCAATATTTGACCTAATAATTATCACATTGACCCAAAAGTCAACTCAATAACTTAAGAGGTCAGATTTGGCTAATATGGCTAAACCAAGACACATAATCAAAGCCCATGGACTTATGATTAACCCATCCATGAGAGGGTTAGGTAACTCACATTAGTCAACTCTAGATCAGAATTGGTCTACTCTGGTCAACACTGGTCAACAATGGTCAAATTTGGTCAAAATATTCAATTTTGAACCAAATTAACAAAATTGGACAAATGGTCAACACCCAAAATCATTTTGACCAACTTATGAGTTAATATTATAATTTCCTCCATTTTTTAATAATGCGATAATTAATAAAAAATGGATTTATAAAATTTAACCCTAATTTAAATGGCATCATATATGACATAAAAAACCCATAATTGATTTTCTAGATTAAATCTAATTTATGGAAAGCCATCAATGGGTCACCCATGACTCATTAGACCCATCATGAAATATTTGTCACCTTATCCCAACCCATCAACCACGATTCTAACCATAACATAGTTAAGAGTCATTATAACACCATCATGAAAGAAGGGACATGTGTCATTCCCTCTTAAAACAAAAGCATGACATGGAAGCTTAGGTGGAGAGCACCTCAAAACCTCACCAATGGAGAGAAATAGCTTATCTAAATCTCTTTTATCATGGTTAAATTCATCATGACGAGAAAGATGAGTAAGAAGCATATGTGTCATGCTCCCTTTAATCCATAGAATGAGCTGATGGACATTTGTGGGGAAGGCTATCTGATCTCGAAAGTATAGTTGTGTAAGATTTATAAAGTTGACTCCGCTTTACAACAATGCCAAAAACTTGATATGTTATTTTATGAATAAGAAATTTAGGCAATTTATCTTGGGATTCTACGCAAGTATACGTATCGTTGTCAAGTAATATAAGAATTTTTATTTAAGCCCCAAATATCGATAACACGAGGAAGTATTAAATATGAAATGATAAATTAACTACAAAATTCACATAAATAAAATCAAATTAATGTCACTAATTTCAAATTGTTTGAGATACTATTAGAACTAAATTATTAACTATTAGCAAAATTAAAATACAAAGTTTAAACAGTAACTACTAAAATATGTTTTATGTGATGAAGTTTTCTAATATAAAAAAACATATTACCCATTACAATGAGTTTTTAGTAAAATGAGATGAGCTAATTGGTTTAAATATGTATATATGAGCAATTTTAATTCTCAAATTCTCAACCCTGATTCAGTATTATAGAAAATCATTGGCTAATGTCAAGTTTAGTCCTTAAATTCGTGGTTAGGCTAGGATGATGCTGGTTCTCACTCGAGAGCTCCCCTTCCCTTCCCCTGAAGGCTAGCA